AATGGCAGAGGCGCTGTCGCTGCGGTTCCCCAGCATCTTCCACCACGTGGATGGCTCCTTCCATGAGTTTGTGTGGCGCTCGTTCCTCTTTGCGGTGTATAGCCTCGTGCACCACTCGCCCGGCATCACGGAGGAGCAACTCGTGCAGCGTCTCAAAGCGAGCGGCCTCGTGAGCAGCAGCGCCTGTCGCGTCGCGCTGGAGTTTCTCAAGGCGTCACTGGTGATCGTGGCACGCCGTGCTGTGGTGCCGTGCGGCGACGCAGTGCAGAGCCCCTTCGCCGCGCCCGCTGCGGCGTGCCAGCAGCGTGAGTGTTACTTCTGCACCGTCCAGCAAGAAGGGCCATGGCGCATTATAGAGCTGTGAGTGAGTCTGAGTGCGTGTCTCTATATATCTGTCTCTCTCTCTCTGTCTGTCTGTCTGTATCCGTTTGTGTTTCTGTGGCGTCTTTATTCTCGATGCTCGTAGGTGAGGGGTGCCTGTCTGCTTGCCTGCCAGCGGTTGAGGGTGTGATGCCTTCTGTTTCCCACATGCGCACGGCGTCTTTTATACATGCGTGTATTACCCTTCATTCTCTTTCTCTCTCTCTCTCTCTCTCTTTGTGCCTGTGATTCTTCCCATTTTGCAGACTGTAAGGCAGCATTTCGTTATTCACAATGCAGATACGGCGAGCGACGATGGAGGACATGTACCAGGTTCAGCACTGCAATCTGCGGTGCCTGCCGGAGAACTACAACCTCCGCTACTACATTTACCACATTCTCTCGTGGCCGCAGCTGCTGTATGTGCAGGAGGACTACAATCGCAACATTGCCGGTTACGTACTCGCCAAAATGGAGGACGAGGAGCAACCGGAGCAGAGCCATGGCCACATCACAAGCATAGCCGTCCTGCGCAGTCACCGCCGTCTCGGCATCGCGTCGCGGGTGATGCGCATCTCCATGGAGGAGATGCAGAAGCAGTATGACGCCAACTTTTGCTCCCTCCACGTACGCAAGACCAATGACGCGGCGCTGCACCTATACCAGGACACACTCGGCTTCCGCTGTGCCAATGTGGAGGAGAAGTACTACGTTGACGAAGAGGACGCATACCACATGAAGAAGTACTTCAAGGGCACAAATCCGGGATCCTACGTGACGGCGAGCAAGCAGCTTGTGCGCCAGCAGAACAGCAGCAGCGGTGCTGGTCCTGGTGCCAAGTCGAAGCAGAATGGCGAGGCGAAGGTGCCGTCGGCTGGCGGGCAGCGTGGCGACACGAAGGGCGCGGAGGAAATGCGGAGAGAGCAGCTCGAGCTCGCGGCGGAGTTACTGGAGGAGGACCACAAGGCTTCGGGAAAAGGGCGACAGCAGCAGCAGCAGCAGCATCAGGCGAAGGGCGGCAAAAAGGGCAAAGGGAAGAAGTGAAGAGCGTGTGCTGCTGGCAGAGTAAAGGGGCGCTAAATGTGTGTCGGTGAGCGTGGTGGCGCGTATTAGCGGCTGCGTGTTCTCGTGTGTCTTTCTCTCTCACCCTATGCCTCCGTGTCTCTTTCGCACGGTGAGACGTGGATGTGCGTGGCCGCCGCCACTCGTACTTTCTTTCATATTCAACATTCTTGCCTCCCCTCCTTCTGGCTCTTGCACCGCGTAGCCGTGTATGTATCAGCCGCTGCTAGAGCTGCCCACCGGGGCCGCTGCGTTCGTCGCCGGGGACCGCCTGCTCGGCGAGGCCGCGGGGTCG